ATGCTCATGGTTTCTCCTGCAAACACCTTTCTCCTCCCCAGGAGAAGGAGGTAAAGTGGAACTGGAGAGAGCTGACTAACCATGCAGCTGCATTTTAAAGCCTCTCCCACCTCTTCAACAGGCTATTTCCTCCCCTTTGTCCAACCTGGACCTGTGCTCAGCCTGGCTTCTGCATTGCTCCAAAACATGTTGCCCGAGATAAAAAACTGTGGATTTAAAAAAAAAAAAAAAAAAAAAAAGTCAGATATTTCAGAGTATCAACCTATATTTTTTTCTGTAATCTGTTTGTTTTGCTGTTTCCTCTCGCTGCATTTTCTTTGCTTGTAAATTCCCTGCGTGGAGTTCATCCTGATTCCTGAAGGACTGTCCTCCCCATCCCAGGTGCTGTGGTTAGAGGAGCAAGGACTTATGTCCACCAAGTGGAGACCTTCCATGAGTTTTGTCCTGATGTAAGGTATGCACATGTTGGTCTCAGACTACACACCCCACTGCTGATTTTGCTGGGTGATATATACCAGGCTTCTGGAGAACTCTTGCCCTTTTGAGGGCTTCAGCCCAAAATATATAGCCTTTATCACCAGGAAGAGCATCCAGATTTGTACAGCTGGGTTTGTGTATTGCTGCTGCAGCCTCACAGGGGCGAGGTGAGGAGATGTTCATGCCTATGCTCCTACCTCTGCCTTCTTACAGAAATGTGCTGCTTGTGTGATTGGTGTGTTTGGAGCTCAAAAGCCAACATGCCTGCCTGGCTGGTGGCTGTCACCCTAGCAAAGGGGTGAGCAAAGCTATGACACTAGTTTTCAAGCAGAAGTCCCTGCTGATACAGGAGGATCTGTCTGAGCTCATCTACAACAGATGCACAACCTTCAAACTTCTCCCACATCAACTGGGCTTATCTTACTGAGCTTATAATACTAGGGTTGGGCAGTAGGTTTAATTTTCTGCTTCATGATCCTGCTTCACTGCAAGAAGACCTCGGCTAAATCTGTGTTACTGGTTTAAATGTGGTTTGCAGTGCAGTGTCACAGAAATGTCCTTCATAAGGTCACTGGCAACCCTCCAGCAGCCACCTGCTTTTCCTGTCTGCTCCCTCGCAATGGGCAACCTCACTCTTTTCCCCTTTTCGGGTTTGTTTCTATTATTTATTTATGTATCTTTTTTAAAATTTGTTCCTTGCATAGTCAGGTAAATGGGAGGTGATGGAAAATTTTCATCCTGAATGTAATTGCTAGCTTGAAGTGTAAAGGGGATTGCAGGTGGGTCATCTGTCAGAGGGGTGGTCCTTGGGAGCCTGCTTGGGATTGTCAGGGCTCTGAAGACTTTCTTAGCCACACAGTTAATTTTCTCTGGCAGCAGCTCTGCCTGCCTTAGTTTTCAGCTCCACCTTACACAGTGTGTATTTCCACTGTGTTTCCTTTGTTCCAGAGTGGGGAGGAATTTTCATTTACAGGAAGGTTGAGAGCTGCTCTGAACCTCAGTGTCACCACAGTGGTGTGTTGATAGGGATGGAGGGGTGGATGTTTCTGTGCAGGATGTTGGTGGTGGTGGTGGGTGTATTGGGGTAGATGGATGTCTCTGTGCAGGGTGTTAGTGGGTCTAGAGGGGTGGATCGATTTTTCTGGGCAGGGTGCTGGTGGGTGTAGAGGGGTTGATATTCCTCTGCAGGCTGTTGGTGGTTGCAAGGGCACACTGGCCTTGGGAACCTGCTGGTCCAGGCTTCTACTTCAGGTGATGGGGTAAGAGCCTCCCTGTGCTTTCCCCCCTCATCAGCCTCAGCACAGCAATGGAGAAGACCCTGCTCAGCCCTCCTGGTTGTGCCATGAGCACTCCCAGCACTTCTCCTGATCTTAACTGCATGTTGCTTGTTGAGCTTTGGGCTATGTGCTTGGTGATGTGACCTGCTCCCCCGAAACCTGATCCTACCAAGAGCACACAACTATGGAGAAACACCTCTCCAAAGCTGCACAGTCCAGTTCTGTGGTTCAGAAAGGGCTCTGGCTGGTTGGTCTGAGAGGGAGAAGGCTTGTGCAGGGGGCTGGGAAAGGAGAGGCTCTAGGCATCATCCCAATTGCACTGCCTTGGGCTTTGAAATGATGACAGAAAATTTTCCTGCTAGCATTTGTTCTCATTTAGCTACAGCTCTACAGCTTGTTCACCAGGATGTTTTTCAAAGAGGGTCTGGTCAGTGTTGGCAAAGGAAAGTCTTTTATTTCCCAAGCATGCTTATCACTTTGTCCTTGACAACGATGGGAACTTTCGGCACTTTTTTTTGTTTGGAGGCAAACATGAGAATGGCTGCCCTCCCAGGCATCATTGTGCTGCCTTTCCTGTGTGCTGAATCATGCAAGCCAGATAAAATTTCCCAAAAATGTTGTTGGCTTTGCAGATGTTGGACCTGGGAAAGTTAGGTGGGAGGAGGAGAAGAATTAATATCTGAACTATGCACTGAGCAAATGCAGTTGTTCAGTTTGAATAAATGTTGTTTTGGTGCAGGATGAACAATAAAATCTTGAGTATTTTCAACAACTTCACAAATATGCAGAGTTTGTCTCTGGAATAGAGCAGCATTGATGGGATGATGTTGCTTAACCATGGGAGTGGTGAATGGTTGAGATCTGTAGCTGAGGCGGCACACAATGGAGCAGTTGGTGTTTGCCCTCTGCCCTCCCTTCATCTGAACACTTGGATGGTTTAGGCTGAGGGACATGAATCAGGAGCTCATGTTTTAAGAAAAATGTATCTTTTCAAAGGGAAGAATTTTTAGATGATGGGGATTCGTTGGAGATGATGAAGTGTTTGTGGGGCAGACTTTAAAAGAGTGCATTGGAAGGATGATTGAATCTCCCAGCTCTCCAGGACAGGGAAACCTCCATGCTTTGTCTGCCATTGAAAATGTCCTTTGGATCTTCAGCCTTTCGGTTATTTCATATTTGTGCGGTTTTTTTGTTATCCATGTGTGCAATCAAACTGGTTTATCTCTGTATCTAGATACAATGCTTGTTACTTGGTAAGGTTTGAGGACATAAGCACCTTTTGCTACAGGCAGGTGGATTATGGAGGAAACCATTCCCTTCCAGGTGCTGGTACAGAAGGGATGGCCAGCAGCCATGTACAGGGCTTCATGGAATTGTAGAATCCCAGACTAGTTTGGGTGGGAAGGGACCTTAAAGATCATCCAGTTCCACCCCCCTGCATGTTACACCTCCTTCGAGACCAGGTTGCTCAGATCCCCATTCAACCTGCCCTTGAACACTTGCAGGGTTGGGGCAGCTACAGCTTCTCTGGGCAACCTGGGCCAGGGTCTCACCACCCTCACAGTGATGAATTTCTTCCTGATATCCAATCTAAATCTCCCCTCTTCCAGTTTTAATCCATTCCCCCTTGTCCTCTCCCTCCCTGCCCTTGTCCCAAGCCCCTCCCCAGCTTTCCTGGAGCCCCTTCAGGCACTGAAAGGTGCTCTAAGGTCTCCTTGGAGCCTTCTCTTCTCCAGCCTGAACACCCCAACTCTCCCAGCCTTGTGTCCAGAGCAGAGCTGCTTCAGCCCTTGCATCATCTTGATGACCCTTCTCTGGACCCTCTCCAACAGCTCCATGTCTCTCCTGTGCTAAGGGCTCCAGAGCTGGACACAGCACGCCAGGTGGGGTCTCACCAGAGCAGAAGGGCAGAACCCCCTCCCTGGCCCTGCTGGCCACACTTCTCTTGATGCAGCCCAGGACACAATTGCCCCTCTGGGCTCCAGCACTCACTGGTGGCTCATGTTGAGCTTCTCATCTCCACCCACCCCCAGGTCCTTCTCCTCAGGGCTGCTCACAATCCATTCTTCCCTCATGAACAGAATATTCTTGCTAACTGAACACTCTGTGCTCTAACTTTTTTTGCTTATGGTCTGTCACACCTGAACATTTCAGGAGTGTTGCAGTGGGGAGATGAAGTGCTGGGCTCTGCTTGGAGACAAACCACTTGAGAAAACAGCACCCACCAGCTGGCAGGGCTGCTGTCCCTTACCTGAGCTCAAAAGGCAGATGAGGTTTATTGAGCTAGTGATCAATAGTGAGGAAAGTGCAAGATGCTTTGCAGTAGCATTTGTGTTTGGGCTGCCATCCTCCTCCTGATTGATCATGCACAAAAAAAGCCATTCCAACCTGCAGAGTAGGAAGCATCTCCAACACAGTGTGTTCACACACCCAGCCAGGACCACAGGCTGTATGTTTCCAGAAAATTAGAGCATAACAGTCAGGAAGAAGTAAATTTGTTGCCTGAATGTAGCTTTTGATTTTTGGTGTTAAAAAATCCCTACCTGACAAGCAGTCTTGTTGTAAGCCTTGTACCTGCTCCAATTTCCCATACAAAAAAAAGTCATCAGTTGTATGATGTTAAGGATGGATTGGCTTTAAATTTTCCCCTCTATTAAAAATAGCTGTAGGAGAAATTTTGCTCACTTTTCTTTTCCCAGGGGATCATCTGGGCTGCAAACAGAGCTGCCATCTGTACCTCTCTGTATTGAACCAAGACAGGATTTGAACTTTATCCTTGTGGTCACTTGGTTGGGACCCCATGAATGCTCTCACAGGCATTGATAAAGACAATGATTCTGGATGTGTTTAATGACCATGTAACAACCAAGTGTTGAGATGCTCTGTTCCAGGGACTGAAATTGCAGATTTCCTACAGCATGTGCACTAATTCTCTTACTTTGGCTAGTGGTTTGCAGCTGCCATCTTATACCCCATGCTCGTGGATATCCAGACTGATCCTACTGTTCCAGGCTGTATTTTTTTACTCCCCTCTTGCCGTGGAGTTCACTGAGTCTGAAGTCAAAGTCTCTTGTGTAGAATTTCCCAGGACTTGGACCTTTCATTGCCTGTGGATCACTGGTGTGTCATACTGGAAAATAAAAGGGTGCAGCTGGTTTCCATTTGGGAGCCTCCAGCAGGGGTGTGCTTGCTGAGCAGTGATGCTGCAGGGCTTGGAGATTAATGCTCATGTTTCTGTTTCCCCAGAGATCATCGATGACCTCACTAACTTGGTGGAAAACACAGACGAGAAACTCCGCAACCAGACACGGCATGTGAAGATGGTGGACAAGAAATCAACGTCCTGTGGTAGGAAATGGCTTGAACACGAGTCCTGCCCTGTTATTAAATGATGAGAAGCCAGTCTAGCACTCAGAGGCTGGGTGCAGTGTGCTCCCCCTGAGGATGGCTGCTTCTGCAAGTTAAAAAAACACCTCTCCAAACTCAAACACGACCGTAGCTGATATTGCAGGTTTGAGTTGTGTGTGTGCTATGTTGTTACAGTTAAGTTCCTTCAGCCACATTGCACAATGTTCTGATTGGAAATTGTAGAACAGCACGGAATGAGTGTGGTGCGTGTTAATGAGGTTTGAAAGACTTGCTTGCTACCAGCTCTCACAAACCAGTCACAGTGGGAGCAATGCTGCAGGGATGTTTCTAGTGCTGTCCTGCAGGGTTGTGCTCTCAACCAAGTCACAGCCTGCTAGATGTGAAATCCTGGCTGGTGACTCTACAAGTTGCCTGCAAGCTGGTAGAACTAAATTGGACTCCCTTCCCGTACAGCCACAGCAAGGTCATACATCTCAAGGGAGTGAGTGCAGGTTTCCTCTCAAGCAGGAAGAGCTGGGGGTTTGGTGGCAATGTCTGTGGGTGATGGCAGAAAATGTCTGTATCTTGGGGATGAGTGACGCTGAGGAGTGACTGGGGAGGAGTGACTGGGGAGTTTGTGGTGGTGGTGAGACACTTCTGGAAGTAGCATCAGCACTTTTGGTGGCCATAATTTGATTTTGGCATGCTAGAGGACTCTAAACACTCACATGAATAATTTATGCTCTGTAGAAATTTGACTTATAGCCAGAAGTTAAGGAAATTTAGCTTATGTAGTTTAGTAAAGAGAAGTTGAGAACTGACTTGGTGTCCTAAAGTGTTTCTGACTGGTGGGGAGCTTTTATTCTATTTTTGTTCTAATCTAGCAGCAAATGTGACTGAGCTCAGACTGGCAATGAGACTTTTGTCAAGCACTGAGGATTTATTCCAGGGATTTATTTAGTTCTCCTTCAGCAATAACTCTGAAAGGTTGGTAAAGGTTGCTGAAAATCTGTGGCTTCTTCTGGAGGATAAAGTTGACTTGTCAGAGGCATTTGTGTATGATTTCTCTTGTACCAGGTTCAGATAGAATTAAAGGTGTGACTGTAGAGTTCATGTGTTTTTTTTAGTATTAGTTTTGATCTTAATTGTTGACACTGGGTGGATTTAATCTAAAAATAATTGCACTGAAAGATACTGAGTACTCCTCTGTGTCTTTGGAGACTCCACTTAATTTTTGTGGTTTCATTTTCTGCAGAAGTACAGGGAAGTGTGATGTGAAACGCCTGGGTGGGCAGTGAGTCCCATTCCACACGGGACAGCTTCTCCTTCCTTAGGGATTTTTCCTTCTTTCTAGGTTCCCAGTGTGGCCGCAGCACCCAGGCAGCAGTGCTGGCTGACAAGCCTGTCTCTTTAACTCTGGAGCCAATGCTGGCTGTGCTGGAGAATTTGAGAGGAGGAGGAGAATGGGAGAGGTGAAGGCTGGGAGATCAGGGCTGGATTCCTTGGGGGTGACCTCTCTCACCCTTTCCACATTGAAAAACATTTTTCTGCCCAGGCTCTGCCCGTTCCCTCTGCTCCAATAGCTCTGCCTGTGTTTGCATAACAATTTGGGCATATGTAAACACAGTATTGCCTCAGATAGCTGTTTTACTCTGCCTGAGTGTGAGGTTTAGAACAATTATGCTGGAACACACAGCCCTTTGTGGCATTCTTCCCATCCTTTTTCCACCCTTATCCCTGGCACAGAAAATTAACCAGCATATTAAGATCAGAAAAACCCTCCGTGTATGTACAAATATTCCTTGAATGAAGCCAAGCAGTGGGAAAACTGGCACCTGCTAGATCATTTTTTTCAAACTGTGTTTTTTCCCCCCTTTCCAGCCTTTCATTTAAATAGATAAAATCTTTACCAGCTCTTTGGATTCTGCACTGTTACTTTTGATTTAAAGCAGGGTGAAGTGCTGAATCTTCCCTCTTGCCTACCACTTCCTTCCCTGAGATGGAGATGTTTGCTGGGCCCCAGTTTCTGCAATATTCCAGCATGTGCCTGTTTCTGTGGTTTTGCCTCATTTTTTAAATCATAAGGTCGTTTTATTTTTCTAATGACTGGATGTACTGGAGCCACTGGCTGCGGATACCAGCGGAGCAGCCTGGTGTGGATAGTGGAATAATCACCCTTTTACGAGCACGACTGTAACGCATTAATGGGTGGATCTTTGTTAGCAGCCACTATAACAACAAAATCAAAGTATGAAATCCAACTTCAATCAATATTTCAACATCTCTCTGTCATGCAAACATCGTTTCAAGGTCTGGAGGTTGTTTTCAATGTCCTCTCGTCCCTCGGTGCTCCGTGCTTGGTGTCACTGGGCGCAGAAGGGTTGTGGGGAGCAGTGTCTATGTCTCTGGCTGGACTTGGTCTGGCAGAAACCTTCAGGTTGCTCTGGGTGGGTTGTTTCATTTGCACCTCATTTGCAATGCTCTTTCTCTTGCTGACTCCGGAGCTGTTGACAATCCCACCCCTTGCTCCTGCCCCGTTCCAGCCCCTCTCCCTTGGTAGCCCCAGGCAGCCCCACACTGGTGTCAGTGGGAACTCCCAGGACTGCAATGGGAGAATAATCGTGGTATAAACTTGAGTCCACTGCATTTATGAAATTATTGTTGAAAATCATCAGTCATCTGCAGGGAAATGTTGGCAGGCTGCTTGGCATGGATTCATTTCTTCTCGGCATATGCAGGGCATTTAGGAAAGGTGTTTGGGCAAACAGTTCGGAAGCTTGCATTGAGTTCTCACCAAAATGTGCATGCACATCATTAAGCAATTGTTAGGCTGCTGTTACCAAATTTGCTACAGG